CTTCTTATGCCTAATGTCAGGACATGTCACTGAATGTCCTGTCAGAATGTTTTTAGATACACACCACTTAATCAACACACACACACACACACACACACACACACACATTGATTTTCTTCATGCTTTGACTACTGCTATGGCCAGCTGCACTGCTGGCACCAGAGACGTCACGGTTTGACGTCCCTGTGTAGAATGGGGTTAGTCCAAAACAGATATAATGTACAGGCCTGTTGGGTTCGGGGTCTTTCATCTTTTATCTTCCTGCGTGCAGTTTGGAGGTGGAAGATACCTGAGCGTGTAATGTTAATTTTACCTGTGATCCTTGAATAAACCAGCACGGTTTAGAAGTTACTGGGATCGCCTCATCTCTCAGAGTTAGCAATGGTAAGAAGTACTGGGAATTAACCCTTACAGTCCATACCTTTACTACTCTGACCTGAGCTGACACTTTTTTCACCACTGAAGTATAAACAGGAAGTAGGTGAACAAGGTTGTGGTCAGAGCGATCTAGAGGGGGGCGGGAGGCGGAGGTGTACGCCTTCCTGGCATTTGCATACATTAGATCCAGAGTTTTATTGTCCCTTGTGCGGCAGTTTACATACTGGGTGAAGTTTGGGATGGTGGCCAAGAAGCATGGTTAAAGTCCCCCGAGATAAGGATTAAAGCCTGTGGATGTTGTGTCTCCAGCCCGGCTATGGTGCTCAGTGCGCGCTGACACGCAGCCTTAGCGTCAGCTGAAGGATTAATGTATACCATCACCACAATCACATGGGATGTAGTACGCTGATAGCTAAGGAATTACAGTTGGTTTAGAGGCGAGATTGTTGTTTTAGAGAGAAACAAAAGCATAGCTAAGGAATTACAGTTGGTTTAGACGCGAGATTGTTGTTTTATTTTAGTTGCATACATATCTGACCAAAAACACTGGCTTAAATTATGAGAACAAAATGGATGGGACGACTGTGGCTCAGTGGGTAGAACAGTCGTTTCCCAGCCGGAGGTTTGAATCTCAGTGCCTTTCATATCATTCATGTCAGATCTACAACCATGACCAGTGGTGGAACAGGTGTTGATATCTTGTAATCAATATGCACAAGTTAAAAGTAGCAATACCATATGTAAATACTTAATTACAAGCAGAAGTCCTGCCTTCACACTTTTTCATCAGTAAATTTATGTACAACACCAAAACGTATTTCAGAGTAAATGTAAAAGTACTTTCTCTGTACAAGAGTATTTATTACTTCCTCCAAAATAATGCGGAAAACAGGTCTTCTTCACCAAAACATATTACACATCAGAGTGGGAAAAGGGCATGTGTCAATGACAAAATAGTGTTTAAAACAGTGGGCGGCACTTTAATTTTTGTAAAAAGAAAGGGTTAGAAGGCATGTGCAGTGTGTTGGGAACATTAGTGGAACAATGACAGATGCCCGAAAGCAAAAGGAGAGGACTGGTTCATTCAACGTCTTTATTATGAAGTACCTTTGTAAAAGAAATGTACAAGTGGAACAGCACAGTGACATCCTGGCATTAACCTTTGTAAAACAGAAAACACCATGATCATGTGATGCAGGTCTGAAGACAAGTATGAAATGATAATATACATATTTACAGCAGAGGATGTATCAGAACAGAAGTGAGCAAGCATGACTGCAGGAAAAAGGACTGAATGGAAATAAAAACTTACATTAAAAGCATGGATTGGTTCAATAAACATATTTTCAAATATGATAAAGGCACTGTGTTTCACACAAACCGACTACACAACAGACGCGGCTGTTTTGTCCATCAAATCACAGTCACAAGAAACAAGTCTTAAATGTTGTCATTCAACTGTCCCTGGGCGTCCATTCTAACAAAACATACAATATATCAGGGCCATAGGGGTTTGCACATAAACATTAACACAAAATATATAATTCAACTCATCAGGAAAACATTCTTTATAAAGAACATGCTTGATTATTAAAATTACTTTTTTATAAACAAATACATATCTAAAATTTTAATTTCATATTGAAGGCATAATGGGTTGAAGTAAGAACAAATATTTTCTGACCCTATGTTTCCCTTAATGGGTAGAAACCCAGCACAAACTGTATTTGACATTCCTGCAAAATCTGGAGAACACATTCAATTAACTACCAGCATAGAGAACACAGAACACTCGATGAGGCCACAAGTTGGATATCAATCCTAGAGTTGACTCAGGCAGGACGACATGATGTAGCGGGCCAAAGTTTAAAGAAATGTCAAATTACATTCAGCTTACATAGCTGGTGTGTTCGCAGTGCAGCGTGCACCGAGGCTTTACTGCAGTGAGGTTTGTAAATGAGCTTTGTTGCTTATGTGACAGCAGATGAGAAGATCACTTCACTTCTCAGACGTACGTTACATATGAAGCTACAACCAGCTTAGTTTAGCATAAATACTGGAAACAGCTACCCTGGCTTTGTTCCAGAGGTGAAATCAGGAACTGTCATGATACTGCTTTTTCTGTCTTTCGTGGCATTAAAAAATAAAACAAATATCTAAAAACACAGTTTTGGACTGTTGGTTGAAAAAAAAAAGATATTTTAGACAGCTGTAGTAAACTGTGATGGGATTACTTTTTTTTTTTTAGACCAAATATACTATAGGGAGATGTACCAATAATAAAAATATCAATAGTTGACTGTCATTCCATTTTCACTCTTTACGCTAAACTAAGCGAACAGTTCGTTTGCCGTAGCTTCATATTAACCACACAGACACGAGTGGGGTATGAACGGTTTTTTTTTTTAAACCAAATTTTGAGCAGGGAAATAAATAAGCAATTTCCAAAAGTGTCAAACTATTCTTTTAAGATACGCTCCAGATTTTAAACTCAAAGTTAAGTTACAATGGTTGATATGTGGGAACCTTTAAGAGAAAGAAGAGATTGCTTTTTGCTCATGATGAAAAAATACAATTAGTACGCATGAACTTAGGCTGCACGGATTTGTATGTAGAAATATGGGACGCACAATATGCTCTTTGGCCAAGTTGAGGCATATACGGCTGACAGGCTTTCACACTCACCAACGCGCATCAGAATAAGCATTCTAGATAGTAATGGCACTGGCCAGGCAGGCGGGTACCTAGACTGAGCTTGGAGATGCGTACACAGGCTCTTGGTATAGCAGAAAAGTTAGCAGGTACATGAGAGTCCAGCATGGCCTGTTTAAAAACAACAGACACTGTGGTCAAAGAGGGCAGACCTTTAATGTGCCTCCCTTCTTTGTGAGAATTTCTGCTTGTGGAACAAAGTTATTCTATATTTCAAATCTGTTGTGCAGAACAGAACTGCACACTGATAGGTAAACAGTACAGAACTGAGGAGCAAAGGTGTTGAGGAGACAAACAAACAAAATGGCTGCCCTGAAATGACCAATGAACTAGCTTCAAAACATACAACATGATACAACAAGTTGAGATATGACAAAAATAGGCTGCATTAAAATTAGTACCTGCCTTGTACATATACAATTCAAATAAAATGAAAACAAGTAACTAAGATACTTGTCTTATCAAAAATATGTAGCTTTGGTAAACAAGTTTTGTAGAGAACTGTTGTCTGAACACGATGACATGAGAGATCACTACATGACATCTATAAACCAAGGGTGAGACAGTTTCTCTGTGTTGAGGCTATGAAGTCAGTGAGAGGAGAAGCAGGCCAGAAATTCCACTCCCCCAAATCCCCTGTCCTCTCCCCTTGTCACCAGCTGATGAGCAACAGAGACAGCAAAAGGCAGAAACGCTCCAGAATGGAACAAAACCTGCCTGCTTTACTGTCCCAAGCACCGATTGAAGAGTTTTCATGGTAATGTAGCAGCATCATAATGGTCTGTGGAGGACACACTCCTCCAGAGCAGAAGTGGAAGACTACTTTATTCCCTCTCCTTCCTGCAGTCCTCTCAGCCCTTTCTATCCAACGCAGTGGAAGTGAGAAACTGATCAGACACCAGATTTTAACAACCCGGCTTGAATATCCACAGTGGAGACAAGATAGGTGAAGTTGTTTATGTCCCTTTCCTCCGCTCCTGCTTCATCTGGCTAAACTTCTTCAATTTATGTGGGTTTGATCCAGGCGCTGATGCAGATGTTCAGATAGTCCATAGAAAATAACCGCCCTCTTAATACTTGACTTCCTACCATGCAGCACAATCTCCATTCTGTCACACATCGTTCCTTCCAGCTTTCTACTTTCTTTGATTTGTTTTCTCACAGCTGAATTTCCATCCAACCTGAATGCACCTTCCCATCTCCTCTTTTCAAATGATCTTTTTTGCAGTTCGGTTCCATCTTCCTGATCCCAAAGTTCAGTCAACCTTTTCCACCTTCCCGATGATCTTCTCCTCAAAGATGGGCAAGATGGCATCGTCGTCACGGACTTCCTCGAACACGACACCACAGTCAAACTCGTCGCTCACTTTCTTAAAGTAGAACCTGCACACACAAGACACACATCAGTCATCGATCGTCATTAGTTGTCAATATACAAGTCTATGGATTGAAATGACAGTAGTGGATAAGGTACATTAAGCTTATAGAACACAAATTATGAATTTACTTATAAACTTCATGAATAACTGCATCAGATGTTTTCACCTGTAGTGGCCCTTTTTGGTAAGCAGCTCCTTGAACTGGCCCAAAGTCACCACGCGCCCTTTGACTGATGTGCGGTATGGGATTGGCTCTCCACAAAAGTAGTATGCAACAGTCATGTTGTCACACACTTGGCGCTTACCAGACTTGTGCCTTTAAGAGAGCATAATCCATGTCAAAACACTCAAAAGAATGCATGCAGAGACAAGTACAAAATAAAGCTCAGTGAGAGAAATGTGTGATTTTGGACTTGACAACTACCTCTGCTTGGCCTGCTGTAGTGTGTTCCTCCTCCTTTCCTCCTCCAGCCTCCTCCTAGCCTCCTCCAACTGGGTGAGGGGGTTAGGAGCTGGGTTGGGGGGCATAGCTGGGTCTTGGATGAAAGGGTGCGAGGGCTGGACCTGGGTGGACGATGAGCCAGGGATGGTGGCGGACACCGAAGAGGGGTTGTTACGGAGCTGGGCAGAAACCCAGGGGTGCACGGCTCCAGGTCGCTCCACTGAGGTCGGACGTGGTGACTCACTGGTGGTTCCCATCCTTCTAGAGCTACTTGTGCTGCCGCTGGAAAAACAACATGGAGGGAGACATGATGAGTATCAGAGGATTTGACCAAAAATACAGAGAAGAGCATGCTGTCATCGAGACTAAAGCTGATTTACAGCTCTACAACCAGCCAAAGATCCAAAGCATCCCAACTGTTTTTATACAGCTGGATGAAAGTGACTTCAATCGATCCAGCTTTCAGAAGGGAAAGCAAGTGGACACATGCAGTCCACATGGCATTATCAAGCAAGTTTTTAAAAAAACATTATAATGAAATTCTGCATTTAATTGTACACAAGAAATTCAATGTTTACATTAATCATGAGTAATACCAGACTCACCCATGTGAGCTCTTCCTTTGTCTGTCTCCCTCCATCATCCACTGCAGGATCTTCTGGTTTCTCTCCCGATCCTCCAGCGGTACCTGGGCCTCCAAACCATGCCCACTGTCATCCCCTTTACCTGATGTCTCTGAAGTCTTCTTACAACCTCGCCGTGACAGCGTACTGCCTTTACTACTGCAGAATGAGCAGATTAAATAAACAAACCACGTTGAGGTCACCTGAAGAAATGACAGCACTTAAAATTTGCTGTAGTCATACTGACGTTTATGCATATAACCACACTAGCTTACCCGTAACCCACACCCTCAAGTGTGCTGGCCCCAGCCCCATCTGCGTAGTTTCGACTTCTCCCTGGATACTGGATGGCTGGCTCACCGTTCCACAGAAAGTTAGGCTGAGACCTAGAGCCCGCCTCCTCTTGCCCTTCTCTTCCTCTGTGGTGATACAGCTGCTTATGGTGATGCATACCTGAGAACAATATCAGAACAAGATCAGTTACATACCAGTCTCTCTTCAGTAGATCCTGTACTGAAGTCTGAAACACACTGTTGATGTAGCTTATTTGACGTTTGTAAACACCCAGTAGGCACACGTTATTTCCCACAGTTCCACATTCAAAGAGCCAATCTATCCAGTGAATCTCTCCAGGTCACTGTGAAATGGTTTTTATTACTATCGTTATAGTAACAGGAGTGTGGCATGTCATGGCTTTGTGTTAATTTGAAGTGCAAGGCAGGTGAAATTCTATAATTTTCTCACTCAATAAAATCCCATTTAAAAACAAAACGCACACAATGAACAGATCCTAGTAACAGGCATAATCTGTGTAACCAAAGCCTGATACAGCTTTTTCATTTGTGGCACAGAGCTCCATTTCTGACCGAATACTACTAAAACCTCATCAATGAAACATACCATTACACTGGGTGACCTACTTCTTCGTTATAATGAACACAAACATTGTCCTTTATTTTGAGTCAATCCCACATACACCTTCTTGCTGCTGTAAATATTCACTAGAGCACCAAATCTACCGCTGAAAACAGTGCCCAATAAATGCACCATTTACTCCCGTTTAAGTCATGTTTGCTAAATGGGATTGTTTAGCTGACAAGTACACCGAGAACCACAACTGTGTTTACAGGCACTTAAGTAATCAGGTTACAGTGGGATTTCTAGAGTAAGCCGATTTCTTAAGTGTCATGTAAACGGGAAACCTGGTTTCCATAATCGGGGTAGAGCATTAGGGAAACCTGATTTCCCCAGGCAGATTTCTCATGGAGAATGCCGATTTCTCTGCCGCGTATATCCGTAACCAGCTTTCTACATGAGCACATGTGCAAACGACAAACCTCAAGGCTGCTTGTGGGCATGTGACTGAAGAAAAACAGGAAGTTGTAAACAGATGATTATCAACATGCCCAACAGCAGCAGCAGCACAGACAAAAAGCCAGCACTACTGGAGCAATGAAGAGACCTTAATCATGCTGAACATGATGGAAAAGTACTAATACCACGATTTGCAGGTGAAACAGTGCTAAAGAAACCAAAATACAAGCTTGATCGACTGGGTCCATCTTTGTTTATGGAAGGATTCAGTCACATAATGACATCAGGTTTTTCCAATTACAGGTGCACCCAAACAACGCCTTCCCTCTTTCAGTGGGCTAGTGATGGTGGTGGGGGTGTCTGTGGGGTCAGATTACCTAGGAGTTCATGTATATTGGGGTTTTTGAGTAACCTGATTACTGCCGTGCATGTAAATGGATTATTTGATTTCTGCCGTAACCTGGTTACTTAAGTGCATGTGAACGCAGCCCATGAGAATCCACAGTTTGCCAAAGCTATCCTAAAGGTTTCTGGGACTGTCTTGTTGACTATATGGACGGTGGTATTTGTAATTCCCAAAAGAAAGTATGCCTGCCTCTGATGTTCAAGTAACTCAGAGGTTTGTCTCAGGAAGACTGAAGTATGCGTTTTAATGTTCTCGGTTTCCTGTGTGCACTGTGTTAAATGCACTGAATTGCTGTTGTGCATGAAAATGTGCTATATAAATAAACCTACCTTGCTAAAAACTACAGTGCCCAAGTGTTTTAGGAAATGACCGAGCCTTTTAACAGAGTAAAATTATAAACCTGTGACTTGTTTTTGAAGATTTACATCTTCAGAAGGACCAAATGGACTTTTGGATAGAGTGACACAGACAGGGCAGCGAGGTCAGACAATCACCACAGAATAATAAACAGTTGGTTTGGGTCTTTTCATGGGTTTTGTTAACATAAAACAATACAGATACTTTGTCTACTGTGACAGCTACATGACCACAGAAGTTATTGTGCATCATCTGACAAGAAAAGGATGGTCAGGAAGTGTCAGTTTTGAAAACCAGTGTTCTTGAGCATCAGTGCCAAGAAGAGTGGTTATGTCCATCAGCACTGCCATTCCAAGTTTACAAAGAAAAACACCTGGAGTTCAGTCTCTCTGCTGTCTCACCCTTGAACCCCTCCCTCCCCCCACAGTCTCTTACCTTTGACACCGGCAGCAGGCAGACTGTGACCTCCACCTCGGTGTTGAGGGTAGTGAGGTGGTCCGATACCCCCATCAGGCGAGCGTGATGATTTGGGAGGAGTGTGTCGACCCCCTCCTCCTAAGGTGCTGTTGGTTGCCCCTGGCGACTGGCAGCCTGGTGTTTTCATCACGCGCGATACATGCTCATCCAAAATAGACTCTGGGTCGTCATCATGGGTGTCCTCCATGGCAACCAGGCTGCCGTAAGTGGCAACTGTTGCTGTGGTAGCAGTGGTCTCTGAATAACGGGCGCCGTAGAGAGGTGGAAACGCTGAGGAGAGGGGGAGTGGTATGCTATGAGAAGATACAGAGGTTGTCATGGAGCTATCAGCATCCTCGCCCTCTTCTTCCTGTTGTGAACAGGAGATGTTTTATTGGTTACTTGACAAGCACTTAAAAGCCTTTACTGACACACAAAAACACAAGGGTAAGTAACAAATTAATTGCACAACCTGTATCTTCTAGGAAATTTCAAATAATATATATTTTGAGAGAAAAACAAAACAAAACCACAAAATAAAGAAATAACATCACACCTACGTATTTGGACATTTGTTGACATCACTGACTAACTGCATATCATTCAAAGTAGCTATTTACAGCAAATGAGGAACAGAATTTAAAGTATACAATTCACATATATAGTAAACAGTGATATAAAAGATAATCTGCTTTTCCCAAAGAGGACAAAAAAATTGAATGGCAGCTGAAACAATTACTCATTTAAGTCATTTAAAAATTCTTAAAATTTTCTGGTTAAAGCTTCTCACACACTTGTGCGGATGAAGACTGCAGCACATGGTTGTGAGACTGTCTCTGAGCTGCAGTTTGGTTTTCCCTGCCACCTGAGGCTCATTCTAATGCCAAACTATCTTCAACAAAAGCAATGAGCTGCTGCTTGGTTAACACAGGCTGGAAGCTGAGTGTCAGACAGTAGAGAGCATTACAGTAACTCCACTGCTAACGTTCAGGACAACAGTGCTCTGAACATGCATCAAGCATGATCAATACAAACATCATGAACTGTATAAGCAACACCACCTGCCTTCAGTACTGATTCATTTTATCAGTGGGAGATCTTCCGGACTGTTAAAGCAAACAGTATCTATGCATCTGTCTCAGCTGAGCACATGTAACTAGCAGCTGTACTAACATTCGCTACAGTGAACAACACACATCACTCCCATCATGTATATGAGGTATGCATATTATCTAATACAAAACCAGTAAAACCTGAGTCCACAGATTATGTACTGTTAAATGCCACAACTTATGATTTAATTGTTAAGAGTGTCCAACATGTTTAGTCTGATCTACTGTATAAAGATTCTGAATTGCCAATTAACCTAACCTGCATGTCTTTGGACTGAGAACATAAAACAAGTTCTCAATTTGCTGTAAAATTCATTTGTTATTATAGAATGGACTGAATCATACCTTAACTGAGTGTCAAAATCCCATCCCATCATGAGGAGCAGAGCCATGCACTCACCAGTCGTACTCGTTTCAGCCTCTCTTCGAGTCTTTCCTGAGCTTCTCTCTCTCTGAGAACCGTCTCCAGCCTGCTGATGAGCTCTGCAGCAAACCTCCCAGGCTCTACATGGATGTCCTTTGGCATGCGGTATGTGCGCTGAACATACACACAAGCACAAAAATTACATGCCTACATGCATCATCTCTTCAAATCTAAATGCCTATTTTGTAACATAACAGGCATCCAACAGATTTCACTCAGGGAACTGATAATACAAGCTTTAAATGGAACATAATGAAGTAACAGCAATGTGAAGATGGAAGACAAAAGATAAATGCTTATCAGAATCATTTATCTCAGGATATTAATGCAACGCAACACAAAATTGTTACAAGGTAACACAAGGTACAACCTCAACAATCTGTAGTAGTCTGCTACAATAACAATTATAGCTGTAAAAGCATGTTAAATTCCTTATGACATTAGAGTTTCAAGTCAGCTTTAGATAAAAACAGCTAGGTAGCATTCGGCTAAATGAATAGGCCCTGTTTAACTCACAGGTATATGAGGTAGGGGCACACGTCCATTGGCTTTGGCACTTTCATGCATCTCCTTACGATGCTGCTTCCGGTATCGGTATGGAGGAATACCATCTCTGCGCACAAACACACACACACACACACACACACACACACCAATAAATAACAAACACAGCTCATTAAACCTGACATGCAGTATTGTTATTAATGATATTAAAATACAAGTATTGACTAAATGCGCATACGTGTGTGAACTTACACACTGCTGTCGGTCAGTGACAGTGTGTCGGCATCACTCGACATGCTCTGCTGCTCACTGTCATTAGCGCTAGTTGCTGGAGCCCGAGCATAACCCATGTTTGCGTAGTACGGGTTTACCGGCTCCCTCCATGGTCTGAGGATGAGTGCAGAGATCAGCATGTTGTGAGCTCACATTAAATTGTTGATACATGTACACATTCATCCAATGTGTGTGTGTGTGGGGGGGGTGGTATCCATGACCTGGACATGTCTCAGTGTTTCTCATGTTTGGATGCTTCTACCTCTGCAGGTTTCTTGCTATTTTTAACTATTTAATTAGTTCCCCCACCCCACCCCCTAGGTATTTAAGTAATATTCACACAATTTTTAAACCACATAGGAACAGAGAACAATTAAATTTCATTCACAAAAAGTAGTAATATATTGTTATAGCTGACAAAAATGTTTTAAGGAATCAAGATGAAAAAAATTTACTCCTTTTTTTCTGTTTGACATGGAATATGTAGGAAAAAGTCAAATAAATGAACAAGCAATACATATTAACCGATTTGCAAATGGAGCAGTGTTTGTAAGAATATTACAGTAAACTGGGTAAATGCCACTGATGTACACTATACATGATGGTATTAAAAGTGAGAAGAAAATTGGCTGAATGACTGTGAAAGTCATCCAATGCTGATATTATTAATGCAAGAAGAGAGCCAAGCGCACACACACACCTGTACTCCCTGCTGTCTTGCCTCCGCCTGCTGGCTGAGGCTCTCTGTGGTACTGTCTGCATCAGCAGGCTGTGAGTCAGCCTACCAGCTGGTGTGTCTCCACACTCCTCCTCTTTCTCTTCGTCCACCTCCCTCCCTCCTCCTCCACACCTAAGATCATCAGATGCATTAATTTAGCCATTTCACAAGTTACAAGCTTGTTTTTAAGTTGCATTAATGTCACATACAAGAGTCAGAGAAGTTTGTGGAATGCATCATTTAATCATTCCAGAGAATAGACATGTCCTGAGCATTAGATTAGTGGTTCAACCAACACACCTCCATTCCTCATCCTCAGCGAGTGTAGGTAGGTACCCAGGCACAGGTTTGGCTGGCCCCGAAGAAGGGCTCTGATCACTAGCGTTAGGCTTGGGGCTCTCTCCTCCTGTCCGTGTGTACTCCAGGTACAGGTCTGACTTAAGGAACAAAGGATAGGTGTTCTCCTCCATCATGGCCTGAATCTCTGTCTGGGCCTGGAACCCACACAGAAAAACATATGCATTGCTCATAACAGCAGTAATTACCTGGGAAATACACCAAACAAAACAATGCCAACAGAACCCAGAATAGGTGTTGATACTAGGGTTGTCAAAAGTATCGATACTCAGATAAGTATCGATTCTGGAATTTCTGAACGGTACCAATTCCAATTTCCCGAAGTATCGATACTACCGGTACTCGCGCTCTGTTTCACTTTCACTTCTCTCCAAAGGTGCGTTCACAAACGCCGCACGTAACCACAGTGCCTGTTTCGTCTCATTTCCCTCTGTAAAGTGAAGCGAGAAAGATGTCGAGTGCGGTGCCCCCGCGACCGTCTTTAGTTGATAAGCAACACAGCAGGAGTGCTATTTGGAATTATTTTGCATACGAAGCAAATGACGACGGAAAGCCGAAGGACACGAGCAAGCCACTATGTAAAAGTTGCTACAGAGCATTGCCGACAAAAGGCGCCAACACATCCAATTTAGCAAAGCTTCTGAAAGACAGACACCCGGATCTATACAAAAAATTTCGAGAGGTTGGTAACTGTTTTCATTTTAACATTAGGGAATCAATAACCAAGATGGCCTGTTGTTGCTGATATGAGTGTTGTCTCGTGAGTTGTCACAAATGCAGCGCACCAGCTGAGTGCGCTAAATGCAGACACTCACTGGAGGTACGAGGGAGAGTTCAAAGTGTGTTTTAATAAAACACACAGGCAGACACACTTGCAGAGGTACAGGCAGGGAGCAGGCAACAATCAAATAATGTTTATGTATTAACC